ATATGTCTTTCTTTACTATTGCACTTTTCTTTTATTGTTTATTCAAATTATAAACCCGACTGTAAATGTTTGTCATGACTTTCCCGATATTTTTTCTTGTTATAGTATTTTTCATGTTTATTCATTTCATAAACCTGAATGCAAATATTTGTTATGTCATCAGAAAAAAGTTTAGTACTAAAGGAAGCTTTGAAGTGTAAGCAACGTTTGTAACTATACTGTTCTTGTGTTCTATCATCTCTTTCTTTCTTTGTCTCTTTCTCTTACTCTCTTTCTCTCTCTCTTTCTGTTCTTTCTCACTCTCTATCTCTCCCTGCCCCAACCTCTTTCTCTCTCTCTCTCATTCTATATATATATATTTTTTCTCTCTGTCTCATCCTGCCCCCCCCCCTTCTCTCTCCCTCTCTCTCTCTCTCTCTCTCTCTCTCTCTCTCTCTCTCTCTCTCTCTCTCTCTCTTCTCTCTCTCTCTCTCTCTCTCTCTCTCTCTAGCTATCTTTCTTTCCTTCTCTCTCTCTCTCTCCTCTCTCTCTCTCTCTCCTCTCTCTCTCTCTCCTCTCTCTCTCTCTCTCTCTCTCTCTAGCTATCTTTCTTTCCTTCTCTCTCTCTCTCTCTCTCCTCTCTCTCTCTCTCTAGCTATCTTTCTTTCCTTCTCTCTCTCTCTCTCTCTCTCTCTCTCCTCTCTCTCTCTCTCTCTCTCTCTCTCCTCTCTCTCTCTCTCCTCTCTCTCTCTCTCTAGCTATCTTTCTTTCCTTCTCTCTCTCTCTCTAGCTATCTTTCTTTCCTTCTCTCTCTCTCTCTAGCTATCTTTCTTTCCTTCTCTCTCTCTCTCTAGCTATCTTTCTTTCCTTCTCTCTCTCTCTCTAGCTATCTTTCTTTCCTTCTCTCTCTCTCTCTCTCTAGCTATCTTTCTTTCCTTCTCTCTCTCTCTCTCTAGCTATCTTTCTTTCCTTCTCTCTCTCTCTCTAGCTATCTTTCTTTCCTTCTCTCTCTCTCTCTCTAGCTATCTTTCTTTCCTTCTCTCTCTCTCTCTCTAGCTATCTTTCTTTCCTTCTCTCTCTCTCTCTAGCTATCTTTCTTTCCTTCTCTCTCTCTCTCTAGCTATCTTTCTTTCCTTCTCTCTCTCTCTCTAGCTATCTTTCTTTCCTTCTCTCTCTCTCTCTAGCTATCTTTCTTTCCTTCTCTCTCTCTCTCTCTCTAGCTATCTTTCTTTCCTTCTCTCTCTCTCTCTAGCTATCTTTCTTTCCTTCTCTCTCTCTCTCTAGCTATCTTTCTTTCCTTCTCTCTCTCTCTCTAGCTATCTTTCTTTCCTTCTCTCTCTCTCTCTCTAGCTATCTTTCTTTCCTTCTCTCTCTCTCTCTCTCTCTCTCTAGCTATCTTTCTTTCCTTCTCTCTCTCTCTCTCTAGCTATCTTTCTTTCCTTCTCTCTCTCTCTCTCTCCTCTCTCTCTCTCTCTAGCTATCTTTCTTTCCTTCTCTCTCTCTCTCTAGCTATCTTTCTTTCCTTCTCTCTCTCTCTCTAGCTATCTTTCTTTCCTTCTCTCTCTCTCTCTAGCTATCTTTCTTTCCTTCTCTCTCTCTCTCTCTCTCTCTAGCTATCTTTCTTTCCTTCTCTCTCTCTCTCTAGCTATCTTTCTTTCCTTCTCTCTCTCTCTCTAGCTATCTTTCTTTCCTTCTCTCTCTCTCTCTCCTCTCTCTCTCTCTCTCTCTAGCTATCTTTCTTTCCTTCTCTCTCTCTCTCTCTCTAGCTATCTTTCTTTCCTTCTCTCTCTCTCTCTAGCTATCTTTCTTTCCTTCTCTCTCTCTCTCTAGCTATCTTTCTTTCCTTCTCTCTCTCTCTCTCTAGCTATCTTTCTTTCCTTCTCTCTCTCTCTCTAGCTATCTTTCTTTCCTTCTCTCTCTCTCTCTAGCTATCTTTCTTTCCTTCTCTCTCTCTCTCTCTCTCTCTCTCTCTCTCTAGCTATCTTTCTTTCCTTCTCTCTCTCTCTCTAGCTATCTTTCTTTCCTTCTCTCTCTCTCTCTAGCTATCTGAAAGTGAATTGGTGGATGAATGGGGAATCTGGCAAGAAAGTGGATGAAAAAACGTGTGAATGTATTGATAAGTAGATTAAAAAGTGGATTAGTGAAGATATAGACGTGGAAATAAAATAGGTAGATAGAGAAGCAGAGGAAGAGGCAGATGTAAAAAGTGGATGAACGCAGAAACAATTTGATGGAGAAGTAGAAAGATAAAAAAACACCCACTATAATTTTAATTTATCGAATGTGTTTTCACGTAGATAGTTCTACAAGTGCTTTGTTTCCTACCTATCTCTCTCTATGATTGGAAAGATTCGTTATTTTCAATTTTGTTGTAATTAGTGTCTGACAACATTGAAATAACCAAAATGTCAATAATTTAAATAATATCGATATTAACAGTATTAATTTATTTCAACCAGCAATTCGAAGAATGGAGAAATCAGAAGTCAGAATTCACAAAACACTACAGTGGGTTAACATG